ACACTTTATATACAATTTTGTTAATCAATACTGAGGTTGACAGTCATCTATAACTAACATTACCGACAGGACTCTTTTCTACAATGAACACAAGTATATGTTACGAGCAATTTCTCCACTTATCTATGTCTCTGTTTTACCATTGCTGATGAAATAGAAAACTGGCGTCTATCTTAAAGAAAAACACATAACGACAAACACGGCTCATAATTTGCATATAACGTATCACGTTATAACGACTAAATCTAATCTGGTAAGTAGTTACAAATTTATTTTCTGCACATAACTAAATTCATTTGCCCAACAAAAATCTGTTCACGATTTATGCTACAATCTAACTACACATCTAATATTACTCCAAAGCATCTTCGTATCAACACACCGTGAAACATTAAACAGCACACCGTGATAGTCCTATCAATGCAAAGAACACCACTAAACAGCAGACAGCGTTTGATGTAGGCTCATTACCTTCGCCAAGAAGGTTATGTTTTCAGAGGCGTTCGTGTGTCTGTCTGTCTGTGACCACGACAACTCGAGAAGGCTCATATGGATTGTCTTCATACTTGGTAGGTGGGTAGGTCTTAATGAGACCTCAAAATGATTAGATTTTGGGCCCCCTGGCGGCTTGTTGTGGCACTGCAGTGGAACTTCCAGTTTTGATATCTCATGATCTGGACGTGCTAGGGTCACGAAATTTGGATGGTAGGCAGCTCTTGTGCTGGGGAAGAAGTGACATAGGTTTGGACCCCTTGGCCGCTTGCTCTGTAACTGCGGGGGCATTTCTTTAAAAATATTCAAAAGAGGATAACTCAAGAACCGGTTGACGGATTGTCATGATTTTTAGTATGTAGGTAGCTTAAGTGACACTTGACATAATTATGACAATTATGCAAATCTGGATGTAATTTATGAGGAAATTCTATAAATCAGCTGCATTACATAGGACTATTTAAGCTTGTGATATATGTAATTGAGAACAAGAGAAACACAGGCAGATATTGATTATATAAATTAACACTTAATTTGCATAATTAATGAGAAAATGTTATAATTCCATACTAGTAACTGCCTGGAATTTCATACTTGGGGTATTTGAAAGTTAAGTAAAGGCTGGACATAGCTTATCAGCACATCATTAAACATAGCTTATTCAAATGAGGACCTCATTTGCATAATTTATGAGGAAATTATAGAATGGCTTTCTTTGTTAAGATAAGGCTGTCTGGTGGAGAATATGATCAACTGATATAATTCATGCAAATGAGGATCCTATTTGCATAATCAGGAGGAATAATCTTTACTTTGTCAGTCATAAAGATTAACATCACTTGGCGAAGGTATGAGATCGTTGAACTCTAGTTCAAGCTGAAATACCTCCACCAACATTGAAGAGAAAAAAACAAACTAGAACTAGAATTATATATACTATCCAATACAGAGGAGGTACTGTACATATGAATCATCACTCTACAACATCGAACACAGATGACTTTGATTATAGACAGTCGTGCAGGGATAAGGTTGACGTAGTTAGCAATTCATCACACGTAGGAATCTCACGGAACGGATGACTTAATCTTTTTACAGAGCTCGTATTTTTTATATACACACTTTATACAACAGTGACTTTCCACCACATGAACATAAAGTAGTGAAGGGGTTTTCCGTATTTTTTTTCACATGTTGGTTGTACCTATTGCAATAAAGTATGCGCATCACCAGTGACATGCTATCTAACAATGGCACGTGTTAATGTAATTACAATATGTTTTAAAAAAACATAAGTTGTATGGTGTACGTAAATCAAAAATGTTCTATCGAGGAGCTTAAGTGTATTTCAATTACCTGAGCATTAAACCAATTACCGTTGCTCACACACTTTACGAGAAATGAGTTGCACGTATAATATGCAATGGTAAAAGAAAGAGAAAAACTAGCAACTCATATTCAAGGTCCTAAAGCTCTTCAATCATCAGATTTATTTTAGAATGTAATAGCATATATGATATAACAAATACATTCACTGTAAAAATGTAGCAGGATTAGCTGCAGCATGGAATTGGTCATTTCTTCACCTTCTTAATCCAGCTAATCTTTTGTTGACGGTCGCCCAAATTTTGTATAAAAGTTTCCTTTTATAAACAGTAAGAAAATTAAAGAATTTCTTTTTCTTTAGCTGTGGTTTTCAAATCATAGGTTATTGGCTACATCCCATACTATGGAAAACACTTATGAAAAACACGGGACGGAAAGCAAGTAAGTGTTCCATCTAAAATTAGACACACATGCATCTTACATGGTGCCGCGGTGTTAAAGCGCAACGAAATTGATAACAAGTGCAGATGGTCAGGACACGTGTATTAAAATCTATTTTGCTTGGTACGTGGGAGGTAGATAGGCACGTTACACGTGAGCTCTCATCACAAGGTACGGCGCTCCAGGCGATTCCGCTTGTTTTTCTCCACATTCGAATAAAACAGCTATGAAATCTATAGCTAAGAGGTTGAATGTGATGTAAACTCTGAAAACAGGAGACCCAACCCGTCCAGAATACTACTGAAGAGAGCATTCCTCTGATGGGGAAGAATATCTGTGATATTACAGTACATACAATTTACAGATAACACAAATTTCTGTACCATTTTTGAGATTCAAAATTTGTCATAATCACATGAATCAGAAGACCGCCCTTCTATTTATCCTGAAATGCAGGACCTCTCTCAAATGACGGAATCACATCTTTGCTGTGATAATTATTTCTGACAGCTCAGAAAATATGGTATCTGGTTCCTAGCTTTCAGCAATGTATTTGTGCGAGCAAACCTTCTTCATGAGCTTTTTCTTATATTCACTTCGCGATGTGTTAAGTCGGAATGTCAATCTTTTTTTCACCGCAGGGATACGTATCAGCCAACAAAGGTGCAAACTAGGTAGAATAGACTGACGAGTAGCAAGTCGAACGCTGCAGTCGCTCCACTTTTATCCACAGAATTTAAGCATCAGGACTTTTGCCTTTCATATTACATAATAATTGTAGTCGCTTTCGGCTACTCCAAGATCAGGGTGTACCAATGGCATCCTACACTGTTTTATCATTCTTAGTAAATATTCATTGCATTGTGTTGAAATTTTTTAAACATATCATTTAAATACAAGTATTCTCCAGATAATCCTGAAGCTTTTTGGTAGATAGCTGTTCCAAACATTATGCTATGACTTTACGCCCAAAATTGTCATAACATTTACGTCATACTGTTGCACTTGAAAAGAAGCAATTTTTCAAATAAACTATTTGGTAAGTTGTGACCAAAAATGAAATTTACAATTAAGCCGTATGTTAAGACTGGCTCTTTCTAATAGGTTTTTCTGTAAACTAGATGATAATTTGGAAAATCGTCCTTCCTAGAGTGCCGTTAACACATGTATTACACGTTATCAAAAAATGCATTTTTTTACACTTTTTTTTCTGGCAACATATCTCCTTGTACATCCCCCCAAATTGTGATAGAATTGGCCATTTTGCATATTATACATGGTATTTCTATATGTAACACAAAATGTATGTCTTTATGTTGCTTGTACTTTGGGTTAAAATACCATATGGATTTCAGTTGCCTGCTTTTTTTTCCCGAGAAAAACGTGTAGGGTCTGTAGAAAAGTTCAAAATGGCTCAATAATTGGAATATAAATGCCATGGGTACATACAAACTCAATATTCTTTAACATTTAAAGATAGTGACAGAAGATGATACTGCCTTATGATAAAAGTCACTTTGATACTGGTTGTAAATAAACAAAGTGACAGTCATAAATTACCATGTTGTAGTGTTCGTAGAGATTGTATACCATATAAGCAAAATATGTAAATGTAAAAACATTTTATAACAATGTTGTCATTTTCAAAGAATTTTGTACCCTCCTTTTAGTTCTGTAATGTTATTTCACATATGAAACAAATCATTGGAGGATACAGCTAGTTTTGTTGTTATATGCCAAATAAGCATATACAAATGTCCTGTAGTGTCCGTATAGTGCCATTGTAAAGTAACGCATTCAAGTTTAAAGGAGCGCAACTTTAAAACAGCTCATCGCTATCCAATTGCATGCATCATGCGTCTTGTACAAGTTTCTGTACTGAAAGTGGGAAAGTTTGAAACTTGAAAAATTAGCCCAAGTGCAACACCCTGGTGCACCCTGATGTTGGATCGCACTAACATGGACCGGTGACGTTGCTGCTTGTTGTTGTAGATGATGATCGACATGACGATGCCCGCAGCAACTTAGATGGACGACTGCTCGTATTTTATGGGTGTTCTCATGTCTGGGGGCGGAGGTGGCAGTGGGGCGTTTCCAGACAGACGTTTCGCCGTTTCCTACAAACAATCACATAATTTTAGTATGCCTTTAGTGCTAGTGATATCTTGATCATGTGTACGTTTGTTATTCTTTTGTGTGTTATTCTTTTGCCGCGACTGGTACATAACCCTGTGGGTATGGATGTACAATAAAGGTGTTCCTATGTGTCGAAAATGTCTAGGACTAGAAAAGGCTGTCTCACAGAACACCATAATTGTTTATGCACTAATTAGGACATGGATAGGGAGAAATTTACCTCATCCAGGGAAGATTTAGCCGCTCTAGCCTGGTGGGCTTGTGATTTCTCGTTTAGCATGGTGGCCTTGCGACTGAGAGGAAGGGTGTTGGTCCTTCTGTCGTCTGAAGTAGAAATAAAAGAAAAAAGATAACAAAATAGATATGTAAAGCCCATTTCACCTGGAGATGCCACAACACAAGGTGTCAAATTTCATCTGTTTTGTGACGTAAAAGACTGTCCTAGATCCTTGTAAGCAGTTGTTTCTGTCACAGCCTGCAAAATCCTTCGACATCAAAACCTGACGATGAGCTTTGACAATGTGAAAATTAATAAAAGTAAATCAAAATTTCTATTTCTTACCCGAAGACAGGACTTCCACATAGTTGGAGGGGAACATGCCAACTCTCCCGTTCAGGTAGCCGAACCACCAGCCATCGCCCTCCCCCTTGATAACCTCAATGATGTCCCCGATACAGAGACGCAACTCGTCCTCGTCCAGGGGTGAGTAGTTATAGAGAGCCTTTGCATACCTTCGTCCTGAGGAGGCAGATAAAAGATAACCTTCAAGCACATTTATCTAGCAGGATCCTGTCTTCCAGAAAACACCTGTCTCACACTGTGTCACAAACAAGATATCAGTCAGAATCAGAGGTTATAGTCTAGTTTCATGTAATGGGTGTAATCCTGCTACATGTATTGTCAATCAACAAACTATATATGTACACTCTCCTCAACATGCTCAACATGACCCCAGACCTCCGAATAACAGTATGTGTCGAACAATACGATTTTTTGTCCATTTTAACTTGATTATTAAGGTTTAATTTAGTTATATGCGTATGTTTGATGTAAAATCGTGTTGGCCGATATAAACCATTACTATCCGGGTAGCCCACTGTATTGCGATGTTACAATTCCGATAGAATAATTGTATCAATAGGTACAAACCACCGTCCAATCCCGTCTCGTAGGACTGTGCGGCCTTGACCCCGGAAGTACTCCGTTTTGAACCGGATTCAAAACTCCGCAACCCTAAATACTGGAACTCATAGGGGTCGTCTGTGTAGTAGTAAGCAAAGTCTTTGTTTTTGGACTCCCGAACACGTGACCGCTTCCGACGCCGCCGAATGTAGATGGCTAAAAGAAAGATGCACAGGAGAAGCCAGACCGAGCCTGCGCATGCGCCAGCGATGATGGTTATTTGTGTGTAGCCTCCTTCGGGTTCTCCTGAAAACAACAATATAACAGCAGTGAATTTGAAGTTGTCATACAATATTAAGATTCTTTGTTGTTTCGAAGAAATGATTTGTTTATCCATCATAAAGTCAGGAAGGCTTCTTGTTTACCTGGTAATCTGACCCTCAACTTAAGCCATCTTGTGACTGCTCTGCTTCCCACACCATTCCGCACTGAGCATGCGTACAAGCCAGTGTCGTTCCCACTGACGCCGTCTAATAGAAGCTTGCTCATGCTGACTGTTTCGTTGAGCCTGCGCACTTCTGTCCTCACCGGCGCGCCCTGGAATGTCCTGTCGCCAAACATGAATGTAACAGAATTATCGAGTTAAGTTTTATGAGAATATTAGTTAACGTTGATTCATTTCATTACCAAACTAACTAGTGACTTTGCCATTTGCAAAGGTTGATAATTGCAAATAAATAGCCAATGAAAGCATCCTGAATGCAACGTCTCATCTTTATCACCTCATACTACTCTTAGCTTTGTTATTGTTTGAGATTGCGTTATTACCAATATACATCAGGAGGAGGGTTCCCATCTGCTACACAGTACAGCTGGACATCGTCACCGTTAGCGGCCGTCATGGACTCCGAGATCTTTATAATATCCGCCGCATCTGGGGAACGTACAACATCATAACTTACATTCACCATTTTCACATTCCCCGGGATGCATAGCGTCAGGGGGTATAATTCCCAGGTTGCATAGCGCCAGGGGTCAGTATACTGCATACTTTTTTCAACTTTTGACGTTATACGGCTTGTTTTTCTTTGTGTTTTGAGGAGTTGGAGCATTTTTTGTTCAAAATTAAGTGACTTATATACAGGTCAAATCTGACGTGGTCATAACGTTACTTACTCTAAAATGGTACCGGTTATACCGTTCGTCAATAGAAAATGAGATGCAACTACTGCTCGAAATAAATCAACAGATGTGCACGTAGTAATATCAAGGGAGCAACCTTCATTATTTTTGATTCTGTCATCAACGAATTCTATCATGATACCGCATGTCCCTATTTCAATTACCAATGGAATCTTGACCTTTACGTTCAAAAATCGTACATAATTAATTAAGGTAGAAAAACGACACGCTCGGATTTATTACTTACACAAGACTCCCAATGTCATGCTCTTGCTCACAGATCCAGTCACGTGATCCGCGACGCATGCGTATTCTCCCGAGTCTCCCCTGCCCACGTCACGTATGACTAGGGATGGGTAGCTGCTGTCCCCTCCCTCATACTTTGCCTGCCGTCTGCTAGTCGTTAGCCGAACACCATCTTTAGTCCAGTAGACATCGTTTACTTCTGGCTTAGACTTGGTTATCGAGCAGTTTAAGATGTAGTCCTTGCCTGACGTCACGATATATGGGCTACGTGGCCCTACTGTCACAATTGGCCGCACTGCAAAACAAGTTATAAACATAAGTTACAACTACAAGACACGTTTTTCACGGTAAAAACGTGCAAGGCGTCACTGATGTGTTGCTTTTGTCAAAACAGCTTTTTTGCATTGCCCAGAATTACTTACCTGTTTAAGTTTCGGCAATCTTTTTTGCCTCTTTCCTCGCTGCAATAAAGATATCTATGTTTGTATGACTCGATGACTCGTGTCATATAAATCCCCACTAATATCGTTTGTGAGGGCAATGGAACTGCACATTTGATGTTTTAAACGTTTAAAAGCAATACATTTTGTAAAAAATACATGGTTTGAAAATCGATTTCTCTATTACATTTGGTAGATAAATGCCAGCGAAATGTTTAATGTTCCATCTATAATTCTAAGAGGTTCAAACGTGTCCTCAGGCTTTTAATCGACAGGTGCATACTGCCAGCAGGTAAAACGTGACAGATTACCCGGCTCCATGAAAGCTGCTACTTAAGCAGCCCCCTATTATTCAACATGACAGTAGGGCAAAATGATTTGCAATCCACCCTGGTGCCCGTGCCTAGGCACACGCCGTAATCTTCTATCATTGTCATCTGAACACTGGATGGAATTGTCCTGGGGTGCTTCAGGAGAGCTCTGGCAAACACCTCGGGATGTTCAGGCTGTATTTTCTGGCCCATACGTGATGAGAATACTAAAAAGACAAAATTTAAAGGGATACATTCCAGATCTTTACGTGTTTGTTTTCCTGATTGCGCGTGTGGTCACCTATATTCTGTGTATCACGTTTGTTATTTACTTCCCAACGATCATCGAATATCAGACCTGAGACAAACACAAGAGGCATTCAGTAAATTTAGTAAACAGTGTCAAGTGGTCCCATATATATAACGTCAGCGCTTTATTGACAATCAGGTAATGGTTGCTTGTAATTAGCGCCTGAGATGAAATGGTAACTAACTATGACATCGAAAACTAAAGGTTAGCCCATAACTGACATCACGCGGGATGATGCTGATAAGATGTTGCCATCGTTGACTACTCTAGGTAAGCGTATCCTCTATTTGAGAACGTAATTTTGATATTGGGTATATACATTATGCACCTTACACAAATCCACGCGAACCCTCCTAATTTAGGTGTAGGAACTGACACAGTCATCATACTCAGAAAATCTGTATATCTGTGCATGAATATTTAATCTGTATCTGTGTATGAATATGTATCTGTACATGAATCTGTATCTGATTGCCAATAAAGATGCAATAGAGAGATATACATTTTACACTGCTAACAAAACAATTTGAGCTGTAATCTTTGTTCATGTAATAATACATGCATGATAAATAGCAACAGTACACGCATTTCTTATAGAATCTCTATATATTAGCCTGGAAACAGCCAAGAGAAGCAAATCAAAGACGCCACTAGTACGAGTACTGTGTCGCACTTAACACCGAAATCAAAACACCGCCCACCATCCGGTCTGCCCTTCACAAAGCGGAGTCTGGTTATGCCCTATGGGGAAAAGTCGTAATTACCAAACGTGAAGTTATAATGTACGTGCCTGGCGTGACTTACATATCATGGGCTATACTGAAGTGATTTTAACATGACAAAACTAAAAATAGCGCTCGTTCATGTAAGCCTTCCTCTAAATATGAATTTCAGTTCAAAATCAGCTAATTTTGTAATAATTATGTGGCAGCTTCTTTTGTTTATCATATATACTTGCATTTGAACTAATCTGTTGATTTTTTATTCCACTATGTCTGTGTGTATTTTGCAGTGGTGAATATAAATATGAAATGTAAAGGTGGTGCATGCTGTAGATCGTCGAAAGCAGCAGACGTTAAGTTTCAGCAATCGATAAAATCGAGCCAATTTTACCATCAGGCCAGCTAGTTACTTTTGTGAAATGGTTAAGCAGCTACAACGGAGACAATTACTGCAATCTGTGTGGTCAAATCATTTCTGAAGGCTTGTGGGTTTGTATACCCCAACGTCATTATTTACTACCTAGTTCTTGATACGTTTTGGTAATGATAAGATAAAATGTTGAATGTCTTCTCATTGGTTGAAGCAGTACCCAAAGAGCATTTCGTTTTACCTACACCTAATTTTTCTTTCTCTTATAGTCGTATAGGCCCTTTAAGTAGTAGATGTTTTCAACGGTTTTATATTTATTTAGAGCTTACAAGAGTAAATGTTATCTGTTCCGAATTGATTATGTTCATGTTGTGAGGGCTAGCCCTTTATAAGTCCTGGCTGTATATATCTGTTTTATACTAATAAATCTGATAAATCAAATCAAGAGCCATATTGTGACAGTGACGGCCATTGAAGTGGTGTCACGGTAAGCTCAATAACAACTTATTCCTCTTTGTGGTGTTTCTTTTTGGTTGAGATGACGGTCGGCGATAACTGCATCAATAACCCAACACAACATTCCACCCATAACTATGGTACATGAAATTACATACAGTTATTAGTGTATCATATAGCCAGAAGACGTCTACCAATTAGAAGGCTCCATTTCCAATCGGTTATAAGGCCGTAACCTCAAAAGTGGTCGGTTATTAGAACAACCGACCACTTTTTGGACCGTACCATTTATACAGGGGACGGGACACAAACAGTACAGTTAAGACTTGTAGCATTTATCTATCAACGTATTGTACATGTAGTTTATTGTGAATTATTTATTTGAAAATACCACCCAATTAAAAAGATATAAATGAAATTTAAACAGAAAATGACTAAACATAATTTTTGACACACCCACTAAAAATGGTGCTGTTCCTATGTCACCTGGTCACCGCAGGCGATCTGTTTTTCTGTCCACTGCACGTGACATAGAATGTGAGTTTTTTTCGACAATGGATGGCGAAGTACCTCAGATCCACGTAGAAGAGATATCGCAGGCGGATCTGGTGGCGTGTCAATTGGGATAGGCTATATGATAATAACGTGGATGCCCGACCTTATCCTCGGTGCATATGGTGAGATAATAACTGGTCAGGTGCGATAACCACCGAATGAACCACAGAGTGAGCGTAGCGAACGAGGTGGTTTAAGACCATATACACCTCGACGCGGGGCATTAACCCTTTAATGTACCGTGGTAATATGAGATATGCGGTGGAATCCATTGAGGTGAATAGGGGTGTTTAAAAATATATGTATTTGGCCTAGTGTTTTCTGATCCGCTATCTTTGATTGGAACAATAAAACCTGGCACGGTGGATTCCACAGAAAGCACATGATTCGGCCATGCAGACCAGCTAGATTCTCCTGATTGAGTCAGCATACACTCGGGTATCCATGTTAGGTCCCCTATTACACGCAGCGTAAACGACAGGAGCACTGAAATATCCAAAAGTCAGGCACATTAACCTGTTCTATCGATTGTACGCTTGGCTACAATCCCCAGTGACGAGAACCCAAATGTCGAGGTGAACCATGGCACAGTGGCCTGTTACGTTCTATGAGTTGCCAGACCCTGCGGTCGAACAGCCAAAGGCTGTAACGTATTACATGTTTCTCGCTGATAATGTTACATGAAACTGAACTGCAGAAGCTGTTCGGCTTAACAGACGACTTTTGAAGTAATTTTCGTGACCTCTGAGGCCACATGGATCAGTATAACTAAAGGAAACGCGATTTTATAGTAGGGAATCAAGGTCAGTGAATATAACGTGAATCGCATTTCCGAAACAGGAATCCACTATACTGTCTACAGTACTCAATGAATCTTCACGGACATACAAATATCAACAATTGCACAAGGTAATACAGAAGTCAACGTTGCAAATAGTGTTAAATAATTAAGGGTTAATGGCCCGCCTAATTCTTGTTGTATATGGTGTGATAAAGCATTGGCAGTTGCTATAACCACGGAATAAAACCACCGACTGAGGGTAGCGAACGAGTTGATTTTATGAGGTGGTTATAGACAATTATCATATAGCCAGGTGGCGTTGACCGATCAGAAGCCCCCATTCCATATTGATTATGACGCCATAATGTCACAGTTAGCATGATACAAGTATTGCCAGGTGCGTTTTATTCTCACAAGTGTGCTTTGTTGCACAATAAAGCACGGCCCGGAGAAAACCATTTGCAGGGAAGTTGACTCTTTTTGCTGACATTTGTAGCACGTTTCCTTGTTGAATAGAAATCTTTACCGTCTTGTCATCACCCAATTTATTTAGCTATACATAACAAAATAAAGACCATGTCAATACATGTGGATTTTGAGCGAAATAAAAGAAAACATATTTTGCGCCACCCCCCTAGTAAGTACATTTCTGTATTGAAACATCCAAATGACCTCAGATGACTTCAAATGGAAGCTTGTTCTATTCTTTTGGCCATAACGGTTCTGTTCCGAAGTTCCGGTGAACTCAAATAAACTCTGATAGAACAAGTAAAATCATCACACTAAAGGGCATACAATTTTAGACAATGGTGTGTCAGAATTTGTCATAGAAGAACTGATTGAGGCCAATTTAGACTCAATATGTGGGTCCTTGGAATCGAGAAAGATGCACAGGAACAGTGGCAGCGGACGGGAGGATAGAGGAGTGACTGTAATGGTTTGTTATATAATTTAGATATATGTGTTATACAGGAAAGTGTTACTCTCTACTGTGTAAGTTTTGATAGGCTATATGATAATAGCATTAATGGCCCGCCCTTTCTCGATGAATATGGTGTGATAAAGCCTTGGCAGTTGCTATAACCACCGAATAAAGCCATCGAGTGAGGTGGCTTTATAGCCTATTCACCTAGGGGCGGGTCATTAACCCTTAAATATAAACTGACAAGGCTTTATCACACTGTATACATCGCGGATTAGGCGGGTTATTAACGTTATTATCATATAGCCTATCCAAACTGACACAGTTAGAGCAGACAAATCCATGTATAACTCAGAAATCCGTTAGTACATGTATGTATCATTCATATAAACACAGATGTTGCATGGGCTTAATAATAAACTGTGTAG